TCCCCCGGAGGAGCTGGAGGAAGTGTCTGGAGAGAGGGAAGTCTGGGCATCTTTGCTTAGACTGCTGCCCCCGCGACCTGGTCCCGGATAAGCGGAGGAAAATGGATGGATGGATGGATGCACTGTTGGTCAGACAAAACAACACATTTGAAGACATTTTATGCATTTTATAGACCAAATAATTAATCAGTTGATTATGAAAATAATCATTAATCTCAGCCCTATACATAACATCAAATTTGCAACGGTTGCAGTTTGATTACAGCTAAGTATTAAGCGTCAGGTGCTGTTGGTAATTCAGGAACTAAAGCTTCAAATTTAATTACATTTATTTAAGCTTCATCTTTTAAGACTGTACTCGTGCATTTGCTACAAGTCACCTGCTAAAATGAAAATGTGATGCATGAAGGAGAAGCTGTCCAGTACAGCTGAAGGTAGCTGAATTGTTACATTTGACTGTCAGCGTCTTAATGTAGTGCATCTCATGATTTACTAACGTGCCCTTAACAGAGTGATATTTAACAGCAGCGGAGCTGCTGTATTGAAATCACAATTACATTTGCATTAAGCAATAAAACTGCAAAGGTTACAAACTGCGCATTGAGGTACAGAGCACAGTCCTCTAACCATTAAATTTGTATTATAGCTTTGCAAGTTACTCATCTCCTCGTGGCTCATACAGTAGATAACCCATGTGGGGTTCGCTCTGTGTATAATCTCTAGTCACTCTGTGAGGAATCACTTCATTACATAACAGTGCGAGCACATGTCAGTGGCTTTGCATGAAGACTGATACATCTAGGCTAATGGAATTAAAATTGTTTTCTAATAAGCCACTGTGTGTGACATTATAACTCATGTTTAACATGGCTGTGAAGGGCTAAGTTGATTGTCAGGAAATTATTTTTGATAGTCAGGGATAATTCTGGGGTTTGCATTGTTGATCACATGAAACACAACATTTTAAAGACTCAACTGAGAAAATAATCAGAAAAAAACAGACTGTAAAAGAAATGATCTTTAAGTGAAAAGACAAGAAGAGCACCAAACAAAAAGGTCCAGAAATATTTCAGAGAAAGCAGGTACAGGACCTTACTAAACAGATGAAAATGTCCTGAAGCTCTGTGACATTTTATAAAAGTTACCATCAACAACAGAGCAACACTCATCTTGGAGCCATACTTGAGAATCATTTTGTTGTGGGTCTTTGGTTCTTGTACCATTGCTAACTCTGAGAGACGAGACAGTCCAAGTAACTTCAAAACAGTGCTGATTTATTCAAAGGATCACAGGTAAAATTAACATTACACGCTCAGGTATCTTGCACCTCCAAACTGCTCGCAGGCAGATGTAAGATGAAAGACCCCGAACCAAACCAGGCCTATACATTTATCTCTTCGGTTGGGCTAGCCCCATACTACACAGAAACGTCAACCGAGACGTCTCTCTTACCAGCTCTGCAGCTGGCCATAGCAATAGTCAAAACATGAAGCAAATCAATGTGTGTGTGTGTCTGTTGATTAAGTGGTGTGTAACTAAAAATATTCTCACACGACTTCTAGTAACATGTCGTGACTTAAACATAAGAACATATTATGGCTAAGGCTACAGTTCTACACGTCATAATAATAATAATATTAAACACCCTGTCTGCTGACAGTCATCAACTCTTCTCTCTAGTTATCCTTGACCAGATGTACCCTGTAGAAACTCATAAGCATGCCTAAGCATTTAACAGTCTAACTAGACATCCTATCTCCACTAAACATTTCTAATACATAAAGTATCTATCCAATATCTATCTGACTAAAAATACCTAACATTGTAAACAGCTTTGTTTGTGGGCACAAGGACGCAGTCGCGCTACAAAATGCTGACGCAAAGAGTCAGTCTGGGCAGCACTGCACTACCAAATCTCTGACAGCTTAACAAATGGCATACAAACTGATTGAGAGATGCAAACAGCAGAAAATCTGATCAGGGCTGACATGTCACAGTGAAGACTGTGTTTGCCTGTCTTTAACAGTTTATCTTTCAGTCTGTTTGCCTGTGTTCTTCTCTCAGCATGTTTATAAATGTATTTTTTTCTGCTGTCACTCTGTCCATTCATCAGTGTTGCCGCTGGTTCTTTGAGGTCACCGAGCTGTCCGTTCTGGTCATTTCTGGGTATCGTCACAAAAGGCTACATGCCATGAGACTCACAAGCCAAAAGGGCCCTTGTGTGCCAACAAAACAACCTTTGTTATGTAACGTACAGATGCTGCTGCTGCTGTTTTATGAGATGTGTGTCCTGCCCACAAGCTGCACTGCATTAATTTGTGTACTTCATGTACTTTCATCTTGTGCTCCATTCAGCATCATACAGCAGCATGACATCACACACTAGAGGAGGAACAACTCCTCTCTGCTTCTGCATCCAAAGAGTGTGTGATTACTGTTGCTTTTAAATGTTCTACTTTCAGCTTGAACTTTCCTCTATTGGTTCTGTAGGAAGAGGAAGGCTGGTTTATAGCATGTCATAGCTGTTTTCAGGTGCTTTTGGCCCTCATGTTACTATATTTCCTTACAACAAAGCCTAAAAGAAACACTTTGAATTATCACTATCTTACTTGTTCAGCATAGGCTTTATTCCTCATTCATATGTTTCATTTATTTCTAAGGCATTTCTGAATGTGTCTATATGCTGACAAAAAGACTCGGGCCACTGAAACTGTAGGCATGACAGTGTAAACAACGTTTGTTTATGAATGCATGTCCTGTCTTTTTGCTCTCTGTCAGTAAAAGATCACCTTTCAAGGCCTGCAACCTCATCTCTGGGTATCGACCCCTCACATGATTAATATTTATCTGCATGTATGCTCTGCAGTGAAAACAGAAAAGAGTGGAAAGCTGTGACTTGATAAGGGCGTCAGTTCTGGAACTGTCTATATATACACATGTGGACTTAGTTTAGTATGGTTCTTGGAGAAAATGTGGCATTTCCATCTGCAGGTCAAACTGTCATGGACTCGCATAGGATGGGGGTGCGACAGTGTCACATCATATATATAGGGTGTAACATAATAATAAACACACAAAACCTGCAGATTTAAGGTTTGCAGTACGTGGGTATGTGTGAATTAGGTTACAGGCAGTGGCGCACTTTATCTGGGTCAGAACTTCAGCCACCACACAGGGGACAGATGGTGGGGATGCCTCAGCTCGGTAATGCTGAAAACACCCAGACACTCTAGCATGCAAGCACAAACACCACCCACTTTGGAAAGCAATTTCCAGCGACTTTGAATAATCGATGAGAATACGACCATTCGTGATCACATGAGCGTGTTACATGATAACCCGCATTGATCTCCGCTGACGCACACCATCCCGGTCAGGGGCGCGCACAGGAATGGTGGCGCATACATGCAGGACTACCACCACAAATGGCATGTGTCCGAGTAATAACACAGCCTGCTGTAGCTGCACTGCAGAGTAGACTTTAGTATCCCATCCACAGGGAAAACATCAGCCCGAACATGGAAGATAGTTATGACAATAATGCATGTTATCAGGATCATGAGCCATAAACTTATCATTCTTGGTGTAATATTGCAGCTTGTGTATCTGCGATTTAAGTTGAAAGTTACTGCGACTATAACGCTGGAATAAGCTTCATAGAGCAACATGAAAACAACGCAACAACAAATGCAGCACAGTGGAAATAACGCAGAGGAAATCATTTTACCTTTGAGGGGGAGAAAAACGGATCTCCACGTAGCCTGGAAAACGTCGCACCTCCTTGTTTTCCTCGTGGCAGTGCCAATCCTAAACCCCCTTTCGCATTCCTTCCCAGGCAAATTTCCTCTTCTCTCTAGCCCTGGCAAGTCCTGCAGAGACGCAATGTTTTGACGCGCAACGATGCCCAGCAGAGTTTAGTAGAGACAGGCAGAGAGAGTGATGAAACAACCAGCCAGAGCGAGAGACTTCACTCCTACCTACTTCCGTGTTCGCAGAAAAAACGTTATACATTTGATATGGCTTACAATTCAGTTCGATTTTTTGCGTAGTATCTAGTTTTTATGTGTAATTTTGATTTAAAAAAAAAGTCAATTACACCGTTTTAATATGTCTATATCTTCGTAGCTAACGTTAATATTATCAAAACACAGCGTCACGCATGCTCAGTACGACTATAGTTGACTGTTGACGCTTAACGTGGCCATTTATTGAATTATTGTATTAATACCAAATGAATAATTGCTGTATGCATTCGCTTGTTGCTTTTATTAGCTAATATACATTTTATGGTTGTGTCGTGTTGACTATTGTCAACGGCATTTTTGCATGCTGGTAATCAGTACAGTAGCTAACCAGAGTTGTACTACCACGAATGTACTTAAAGAAACATTTTCCGGTGGTTGCGAACTGCCACAACAGCTTATTTCCAGCATGTAATGATGGTTGGAGCGCTTAGCCTTATGACTTACCCGTTCGTAGTTACGGGCTTAGAAAAAAATCTATCATTTCCCACTCCGGACGACATGAACTATCATAACAGTTGAGTTGACGATCTTTGGCCAAACTCACACTGGCCATTGACTTGATGAATAAATGACAGCCGTATCAGCCAATCAGCAAAGCTATAGAGCATAGCAACACCGCGTTTATTGGCCAATGATAAAAGCGAGGACCCAATAATGTCACTAACAATCGCACATTCTTGTTACAGAACTCGGTGGGAAGCGCATCAGTTACATATAAGTGGAGTTTTATAAAATAGCATTATGAAAGAAGACCACGAAATACCTAACCAGTTCTTCTTAAACGGAGTAAGAAATGACTTTGTAGATATATCTCATATAACAGAACATCTCCAGCATCATAAACTTTTCCACTACATGGAAACCTTCCCAATCTCCCCAGTCTGCAGTGCCCCCTCCTGTCAGCCTGCAGGTTGCTACCTAATATTTATCCATATAAATTTGCGTTAATTTGTTATGCAAAGTGGTTAAGACGGCAGGCCGTTTTTCTACTGTATGTACACATCATTTATATAATAATGACTTTGTTTATTTATTTAACAGCCAGGCCCCACATACTAGTTTTGTCAAACCAAACATATTCAACACCATAACAAACATTCATTTCAGTATGCAAAACAAAAATGTACATATTCTAGAGCAAATTCATGGGAGATTTGTAATATGATTGATAGATCACAAGCCTTTCACAAAAACAAATCTTTTTGATTTACAGGTTTTCTAAAAACAATAAAATGTCAGACGAGATTAACAACTGTGCAGATTTCATTAATACAAACTTAAGTAAACAGAACACCCATGCTGTTTTGATTGTAAAATACCAGACAGCATACAGTACATTCAACCAATACATTCGTTACCGACCCTCAATGTGTAGTCACGAGTTTGTCAGTGACAAATGTCATTGGAATGATAATCCTAATAATCTTCATAAACGAGCTGGAGTTCCTTATTTTGTGCAAAATTTCCCAGGATTATTAACAGACCAACTATGCCACAGTCATTGGCTTTAGAGACTAATCTACTACACATAAACATACAACACATCTATGTAACGTACACCCACTTTCTTTAACATCAGCATTTAAAAAAGTGTTTTTAAAAAATTTAACTGAATATTCCTATGCTCAAACTTGTCAATATAAAGAAGTAGCACTTACAGCCTCAGTACTATCACTGTAAAGCTAAACTTTAGTGATTCTGAGGACTAGTGTCACTACCCTGTTTTTAATTTAATGCTAAGCGGCAGAAAAAACATACATCAGTTGGTAAATTAACATTACATTTCAACACCAAGCTGCATCTGCTGGTGTTTTTACTGGCACTATACATGAACCATGATTCACTAACACTGCAAGCTCTCTTTTACCTGAATATATTAAAAAAGTAATTTAAAAAAAACGAAATAAATGTTACTAAATAATTTAAGTCAAAACCCATTATTCTATTGAAAATCAAGTCCGGTAAATAAAACACAAATGCAAAATTCCAATGTCCATTTCATCACATTTTATAGATATACTTTAAAATATTGTGTGGTGTTAAATAACACTGAAAGACCAGTATAAATTTCACACTGCGGAACCCAGGTGTCTGGGTGTGCGGCAAGGGGTCAGAAAATCCACAAAGAACACAACTGAAAGGAGATAATGATATACATGTACAACAGATGCACTATGTATCCTTAAAGAGTATTTTACATGATTGAAAATACACAGGTTTGTGTTACCAATACAACAACATTCTTCAAACCAGTGCAGAGAGGCTTCACACAAGAACATCCCTTCCGATTGTAAAACACAGTGTGAGAGTAGCTCTGCTGGAATGCATGGTTGAAAGTGTGTGAGTTGGGGTGGGGGGTGAGGTAGATGTTGGCATGTTAGTCGAGTTTAGAAATGCCTTTCCTATCCATGAAGTCTTTAAGCCTGGTGGGAAAATCTGTCATAACTCCCGTGGCTCCCAGGTCAAACGCCCTCTGGAAGTCGTCCTCGTCGTTCAGCACCCAAATGTACACCTGAAGCCAGATGCAATGTTCATACAGTTAAAATTGCAGACACACACAGAGCGGTGGGAGTCAGTCTATTTCTGAACTTGTAGGAACATTAGACATTTTCCAGTAACAGCTCTTAACAACAGAATAACACTACAACTAGAGCAAACAGCTATCAGCATGGAGACAGGCTTCAGTACTGGTGTTATGGAAAGTTTTCAGTAAGTCTTGGAAGTATAACTAATACAGGGTATGTGACTTAAGCTTGATACAGTTCTGTACATGTAGCTAGTGGCTGTTAGTTACATTCATGTCAACAATGGATGCATTGTTGTATAAGACAAAGTAAGCAAACAGGTTTGGAGCTCAGAGAAAAAGTGAGAATGAATGAAACACTATAATAAATGGACTTAATAGGGAAGTGACTGCTGGTCATTGTTCTTTCTACACATTATGCATTTATAAATTTGCATTCACTCTGTATTTAATTATCCGTATGAAGTGTTTTCTCATTTCTGAGGAATGCTGTAGAGGGTACATAGTGGCATTTTTACCTGAATTCCCCTGGCAGTTAGATGCTTAAACAGAGCTTTCCTCATCAGCAAACTGCAAGAGAAAAATAACCACTCATCAGAGGAAAACACCACAGTTGTAGCAAAGGTAGAGAGGGAGGTTTATTTTGACAGTTGTAGAGGTTTTATTTGGTACAGGTTTAAAATTGTGAGTTACAAACACCCACAAATTCAGCCGCTCTAAAGCAGATAGAGGAATTTTATATAATCAAACTTGAGTGACATACGTGTCTGCCAGCCAGGCAATGAGTCGCTGACCTCTAGTTAATCTGTTAGGATCCTGTATTCTGCAAAATCACAGAGAAAATAAAATTGTTTAGGTGCTACTGATGTGGTCACCACAGTCAAACATGATTGCAATGTGCTAAAGTGTAAAACATTCTCAAATGCCCAAAGTCGCCCCAAACACTCAATCAGTGCTCGTTCATGTTTGCAGTAGTGGTTATTAAAGGTGCAAAATGATCATATACAGCTAAATTTACTCGGGTCAAACAGCCCTCAACATCTGGATAGTACAATGTAATACGTGTTCTGGGCACTTCTGAAATTCATTTTAGGAAACAAAGGAAATGGCAAACTTAAGTAGATGTAAATGAAACAGGCTTGAAGAAAATGTACACGTTGTCAAACAAGCCCCAATCACACAAAAACTTGAGTATACTGAATGTTCATGTACTGTAAATGCCCACAGTAAACAGTGTCTGGGGGAAAATTGGTTTAAAGTAGTGTTATAAAGGAAATCACTTAATCCTTCATGTACAGTCTGCTCTATGACCTTGATCCTGATAATCCCCTAACACACACCCTCAGGATAAGGGGTGTAAATGTTTATTTCAATGGCTTAATTAGTGAGTGAGATCATCTCTGAAACAGCCCTGTGGCCTAGATAACAGTGACAGAAAGGACACACTGCAAATTGTCAACTAATGAAAAAAGTGTGGCGAGGATACCCTAACCAAGGATGACAGGAACCTTGTGAAATGTTTAAAACCTAAATTAAAAACTGAAAGTATATTTCATTAAGGGAAACAGAGTAAGATCATGTGTGTCGCCTTTAAAAATTCACTATAATATCAATATGAATCAACAGCAAACAGGAAATTAACTATTCTCTAAAATGTTGATGAAAATTCTTAGCACAAGGAGGCCCACTTACTGGAAATTGTCCAGGACCTTGGACCACACGGTCAGGGAATGGAGTTGGCTCCTCTAGTTAAGTACAGAACTTCAGTCACATGAAAACACTTCTGTCTAAGTTCAAGGTTTGTCTGGATGTGTCTGCTGGTAAAGGCCACAAGATGTGACTGAAAGGTCTAGAAATTCCCCAGTAAACAGACCTTGTGCTTTGATTTGTTTCCCTTTGTCAAACTTCTATCTCCAAGGTTGATAAAGAACTTTTAAGTGGAATTCCAGATGTTGCTGACTCTGTCCATAGATAAACATCAAACTGTGGCATTTAGAAAACTATTTTCTCCAGCTAATTAATGCGCAGCAGCTGGAAGGCATTGCCAGTGTCAATTTAGCCTTTTTAGGTGGGGTTTGCAAAGACACAATGTTTAGTCTTTTGTTTTCCTGAGACACAACTGTCTACAGCACCCTGGTATGTTCCTGTTCACCTAGACAAAGGCAATGTGAGGCAATGCAACAGTCAGCCTATGTCACTGCTAGTTCTTTTCATGTGAGCGTGGTGCGTCTCTGCCCTTAAGTCAATTTGCCTCGGCTTGAAGTGCTCTAAGAACATTTTAATTCCATTTAAATTTTTATGTGTAGACTTACTTGAAGAAAATGGAGGGCATGGGGATCTCTAGGAACTGCTCCTTGAGGGGAACAAATGGCAGAAGTCCGGTGTAGAAGAGGCCTAAAAGCTGCAGTACTCTTGGATAGCTGAACAACACTGGGATACGAGGGTTCTGAACAAACATACAACCAGGACTTAGAGAGTGTTGTCTTATTATTCATTACTGTGCCACCTGAGGCCTACTACATGAAAATAATATACTGGTGGCAGGTTCTTCTTTTTTTGTTAAAAATGGAGATTCATTTCCGGAAATGACTGGACCAAATGTAAACCTCATATGGAGAAAATACCGTAGTAAGTGACAAATAAGAAAAAATATAACAATCTGACCTATATCCAAATGTCATTAATATAAAGCCAAGCATTTCATATAAAAGTACCTCTTTGTAACACTTCTTGACAACCTGGTTACTAGCGTTGCCCCACACAGTCAGATGCTCTCTGTCGTACTTTACAACCAGTTCGGAGACCTGCAACAATTACTCATTGTTACAAAATGTATGCTGTCATTGCATGTTGCTTATTATTATTAGTTTCGGACACTGAGATTTTGGCAAATTATTACTTGCACCTAATCAAAATTCTAAATTAGAGAGTGATTCAGATGACAGTGATACTACTGAACTCTAAAAACTGCCACCGTGCAAAATGATGTAGCATAAATGAAGCGCAACAATGCAATACTGTCGATTTGGTAAGCCTTGGAGTGCCAAATGTGCCAAACTGATCCATGAGGTAACAACTAATACTGAGAGGGGTTAAGATTACCAAAAGAAAAAAAACACACACAGACATACCTTCTTGATAAGGGTGTCATCGTTGACCTTGATGTCAATGTTGACAGGGGTATTAGGAAAGGCATCAAAAATGTCCCTGAGGAGAGGGATTTGTTTGTCCTCCCCACCCTCACAGAAACACTCTGCACAAACAAGGACAAGTCAAAAACACAGTCAGATTTAGACGAAGCTGTTGGCTCAAGTACATTCATCTTTTCAACAGTGCTTTTCTGGCCAATTTGTAAATATACTACCTGTCAGTTTTATTGTCGAATAAATACATTCACTATATACAGTAGGTTTTTGTGATTTTAAATGCTGTTTCAGGTGGACTGATCACTGTATTAGTGAAAAGGCAAGTGTTAGATAACAGTACTAAAAACTGTGAGGAGTACACTGACTGCTGATGGTCCTGAAAATACATGTGGGTGGTGCTAGCTTTGTAGTAATTAAACTCGTAGACAGTCAGTCATGGGTATGGCATGCTCACCCCTCTGAAAGGTTACGCCCAGTTTGCAGAGGTATGGAGGGAGCTCCTGCAAAGAGCACACAGCAGTCGATGGTTAACAGACATGATTTAGAGCCTATAGTTAGAGCCTGTAAGGTCAGGTCCAGAAGTGGTGTGATGAGTGTTCACATTTGTGACAGTCAGTTTAAAAGAGACAGACGCACAGTAAGGACAGGTCAGAACAGGATTAATATGAAGCGCTCTGCACTTCTCTGTACTGCAGGGCCAAAGATCACAAAAATAATTCTGTATAAATTTATTCACCAGCTGTATCATTTTTGTTCATATTAAATTTTGTTGTAGTTGTGATCTCTGATCTTCAAATGCACATAAATACTGGATCTGACTATTTGCTTTTCATTAAAAAAAGATCAGTGTCTCACACATTAAAAATGTGACCATCAGCTGAACAGAGATCCTAAATGAGCATCAATTAACCCACTGGTTGACCAAGAATTTCTGCTGGATCTGATGATTTTTAATCAGGCAAAAGCCTCAGACATAATCAGCTGACTTGGTGTTGACCTGACCCGATTAAAGCACATGATCTGTCAATGCAACTCTAGTTCCCAAAAATATTCTTTGTTTCAAAGTTTTAACTCAACTATATCTGGACCTCTTGACCTCTCTGTGTTTTACATATTAATGCAGATGTCAAATTAAACAAATTTCCATGTTTTTAATAATTACAATTATCTGATTTATTAAATTATCATACACAGTTTCCTTTTGGCAGGTGGTAGACAGAGGAAATGGACAGCCAAACATGTCATAGGAAGATTAGAAAATAGTTAAAGTGTAGTTATTTCTCTGTTGGATATGGAAATAGGATGATTAAGGAGATATTGCAGAGCAGCAACTCACGGCGTAGGTTATGTCGGAGATTCGGGCATTGATGCCAGTGGCCCTTTTCAAGTTGGCATCATGTGAGACGACTACCTGTCCATCTTTCGTCAAGTGGCAGTCCAACTCCAACATGTCTGTGCCAAGATCCACAGCACTGCACAAACCAGCAAACAGTACACATATACTGTATTTATCACCATGCTGGGGAGACTCTACTGACTATTATCAGTAACCTCAGCATGAAATGTAGCCCATACACGTTCAATAAATCATAAAACATTTCACTTGACACATCATTAACCCTTCATGCATAGTGTCCACATTTGTGGACTGTTAATTTAACTCTATCTTGGGTCAGGTCAGCATGATAGAGCTCTCCAAACCACTTGAGAGCAGCATCAGTAGAGCAGAATAATATGGTAACAGTTTTTTTATCTTGTATTCTATATACTGTGATGAACATGAACTGAACTGAGAGTAAAATTTAGTCTAAACCAGTGGGCCTCAGAGCGTCCTCTGGTGGGCTGCGGCCACAGTAGTGTAACACATTTAAGCCAAGTTTATTTATTTTGTGTTGTATTTTGTTTGTTTGTTTTGGGAAGGTGGTCCTTGGAATTTTTTTGTCTTTTTTTAATAGACAAAAGCTGTGGTTTTATTCTTATATTTTGTTGCTTGGTGTCTATGGACATGGACAATTAAATAAATCTTAATTAAAATAATGAAAGCAATCTTTTTGAAAATCTGTTTTTGATACTGTAATTCATGCTTGACAGGGTTAATAAATCAATCAGGAAAAACACAGCAGTTTATCATTGAAGCTACTAAAACTTATTAGTGTCTGGGTTACATAGGCCTGCATATTGGCCCGGTCACACTACTGACAGACTACTGTGGGTAACCACAGACACATGAAACAGACCAATGTCATGAACTTAACACTCCCAAGTTCAGATGACACACACTACCCACAATCACATGTAAGAACACCACTTACTGTATGTTTCACACATATGTGCAAAGGACAAACATACAGCTGTATTATGACTAAGGTTATTACTCACTGCTTGAAAGCTGCCATGGTGTTTTCCAGATTTTCACCTGCCCCTGCAATGCAAGAAATAAACACTAAGCACAGTGTTTTCTTTTTCTTTGCTATCCGCTGAGAACAACCGCTGGAACACTGCCTATGCTGACAATTTATATGCACTTTCTGCACCTTCCTATAATAATGTACTGCCTGATATAAGCATGGTAATAAATACACTGCAATATAACTAAAACCATGCAAATACAGAATTAGAAAAATGGTAAAATCCCTGCCAGAGGTGGGTAAAGTAGCCAAACACTGAACAGTAGACCTATTCTTACTTTGTAAGTAGTTCGCTAGCTCTCAGTGAGAAGCAGCAGAATAGTCAAGTTACAAAATTGGCAAAATTACACTTAATCTCTTTCTACTTATCACTCAATAATTATCACAATTATTAAATAACTGTCCAAATTTGATTAGGATGATAGAGACAGTATAAAATTGCAGCCACTGACAGCTGAATGGGCCAAGATGTGAACCTGATGCTCAAGAAAGTATGCTTACCATCTTTACATATTAAATACCTTTCTGAATAACACACATTCTAAATATTGATGCATATTTTACAAATTCACTGAACAACGGGGGGTGGGGGTAAACTGTTATGCACTTGAGGGAGATGTTGAGAGATAGAAAAAAATCTATTGATTCACCTCCACGATGGGAAATGTGTTTGCTGAGGAAGGGCCCTCGCTTCCTCCGGTGCAAAAAAGTTGGACATTTCAGCAGCAGGGCAGAGGTGAGCACGTAGCCCGTTAGCGCTGATAGGGCATACACAGCAGCACACATCTCCTGTCAGTCTGCTGCAAAACAAACACAACCCAGTTAACATCTAACTTAACTGTGTCCGCACACGGGCTGCTAATTTGAACCAAGCTCTGATGTATGCAGTCGACGCATTTTCCTGTTTTTCCGCGGGGATTACACCATATTACATCGAGGTGTAAGGAGACATCGTTTCTAAGAATATGATGAATGTCTAAAAAATCTGCCGGTAAAATTTCATCCACATATATGAAATTTTATATGTCTAATTACTATGCCAAAGTTACTTCGATGAAAAAGCGCAATAACAATGCTAAAGTCGCCCTATATATATACTCGGCAGAGACGGGAACAAGTTAATAACCATGGATATATACGGGAAATGCAATAAAACACTGTCAAACCCAGGCGCACCTGGTATTTACAGCAAAGAGATAAGGGGTCCGTGAAGGGACAATATCAGCTCACGGCTAAAACTCCGGCGTTAGCGCTCTTTTGTCAGCTCTAACTAAAGCAAATCTAAAATAAATGACTAACATGATATATGGCTAGAAAGGTAAGAAGTTAGACTCAAGTTTTATACCATTACATTAAGTGAAAACATAACACGATCATTTATATTTTAAAAAATTTAACTAAATGTTCGCTAAAATGCAGGACTGCAAAAACTCTGTCCAAACAGATAAATATTGAGTTGAGTCTAAAAAAAACCTTGAGAGCTGCCACTCATGAATGTTTTACATTTACTTAATCACTAAATCAATTATTTAAAAAAAAAAACTAATAGCCAAAGTGAGGTCTGCTTACTGATTATTTAGCCTTAGCAACGGCTAATACCCCAAAGAAGGGATGCAAGTTTTATTTATTAGTGGTGTATCTGATAATTATTTTCTTAAGGTTATTAAGTGATTAATCATTTGATACATAAAATGCAATATATTAGCAAAAGAATGTACATTTCAAATGACATGTTCACTGAAACTACATTTTTATTTTAAAAACTTATAGAATGACAGAAAAGAATTCAAGCCATTATATGTGAATGACTGTACTCTGTTAAGAAACCCAGTCATTCGTTGTCAGTGAACAGTTTGTGCCTCATTTCCAGAGTTGTAGACGCCTAATATTCAGGTAATACACAGTACATGTATATGATTAAGGACACCTTTCCTACAATACACAAATACTATGTCATAACGTCATCGGCGTAATCATACTAGCTAAACTAAGCTAATGTTAGCGAGGCTGGGATCTCAGAAGACGAAATCTTACCTTTATCATCAAATTGTTTAGCTTTTCTTTCGTTTTTTGTCTTGACTAACCTAGATGGTCTCAGGAGAAGTTAGTATGCAGACGTCTGTGCAGAAAGTAATTGATGAACTCTTCAGCAGCTCTGCTAAACTCCGCATCGCAAACAGCTGATGAAGCAGGTGAACTCCAACCGACCGCTGTCATCTCCGTGCGCATGCGCCAGTATGACCACAACAATAGTTTTTCCGCCAGAATATTTCAGAATAAAAGCAGCATATCATCATATTTTAGCCTGTACAGTCAATGATTTTAACTGTCAGCGGGGGTAGGCCCAGATCTTTACTTAAGTAAATGTAAAAAATACCATAGTATAAAAATACTCCTGCATTCACATAAAAGTGCAAAGATATTAGCATCAAAATCCAGCCTCCTGCACCAAAAGCCAAAGTAGTAATTGCACAAAATGACGCATTTCACATCAGTGTACACTATGTTATTAGACAATAACCTAATTATTGATGCATCACTTTAATGTCACTGTTGGTAAAGGTGGAGGTAATGTTAACTGCCTTTGTTTGTGGGCTATGCCCTACCTCTCTTTTTTTTATTACAATGCATTTTTTACTTTCTGAATTATGCTGTTAAAAACCAAAACCAACAAACACTGGTAAAAACATAACCCTGCACTATCTATTTATGTATCCCGAGGCCCGGGGCCTTTTTGTGCGAAGTTTGCATGTTCTCCTTGTGCCCATGTGGGTTCTCTCCGGGTACTCCGGCTTCCTCCCACAGTCCAAAGACATGCAGCTTAGGTTGATTGGTGACTCTAAATTGCCCCCTAGGAGTGAGCGTGAGTGTGTATGGTTGTTTGTCTACATGCCAGCCCTGTGATACACTGACAACCTGTCCAGGGTGTACCCCGCCTCTTGCCCAGTGTTAGGTGGCATTGGCTCCAGCCCCCCTGTAACCCTATTCAGGAATAAGTGGTATAGATAATGGATGGATGAAATTGTACAGTGTCAAGACACTACTCTGTCTGGTTGCTGTCAGTCAATTGCAGTTAAAAAGACTCATACTGTAGCATTTTCACTGCTCAAGTACTATTACTTAAGTTTTGAAGTTCAAGATTGTTTCTTCAAATGTGCTATGTGCTACAATATTATAAAAGCAAAATCTTCACCCATGACCCTATTAGAAAATGAGGTGGTAACTGATTTGATCCACCAGATGTTGCTAATGTGCTGCTGTGTAAGTGACAAAAAAGTGAGAGGTAAAAATATGCACAAAGGTAACATCTAGTTAACAGGATACCAGGTGAACCATGGCAAAAGTAAACATGTAGACCTATTCTTTGCATTCTATATAATAATGACAACAACTGCCTATCACTTATAACTCTGAGTCATAAATCCACAATGTGATTTCCTTTGTACAATGTTCAAGCTAAAATCTTGTACATTTGTACCAGTCAAAGTTCACTTTATGCAATCCATAAAGATGTGATACACACCCAGTAAGACTTCAACACAGCTTTATGTGTAAGTCCTTTCTTTAAGAAAGCTGACTAGCATTAATTTTAAGGGGTCTGGGTTTGCTGTCAATATACTGTGTACATTTAAGTGAAAGTTAAATGGCTCAAGATTTAACAGATGTTCTGGAGGAGTGGAAATGTCTGGAGGAGGAATACCAAGAACTTCGGGTAAGAAATGGATCAAAATCAGCTAAAGGCAGGGCAGTTAGTATATAGGTCATACTAAAAGTACTGTTTTCTTAATGAAATGTTATTAATATCTAGCAAAAAACCTTATAAAATAACTGCATTGGTAATTTGGTTTCATGTCAAATATCTTGTTTATGCTTCAGATTATCTACCATATTTTCAACAAATGTTAAAAGATTGAAATGATTTGTGTAATCTACATGTTCCCTGGGTTATTAGTGTGACCACGTGTTTTTATGTCACCCAGGAGACACACAGAATGTACTTACAGAAACTGGATGAAATTTCCAAGCTACAAAACCACTGCTCTTCCTCCATTTCCCTCCAGCGAAAAAGACTGAAGGAGCTCTCCCACCAAGCAAAAAAGTCAGTACACACATACACAAAATTGCATGGACACAGATTTATAGTTGCACAGTAGAGATGAATACAGTACATCAGGTCAGGTCCATCACATACACAAAGACAGGGAAGAAGCAAGGCAAAGCAAGGTGGACCCTCTTCAGCTCACACAAACTCATACTGTAAATATGTCATGTTGTCACAATAATGCAACATTCAGTATACAACAGAAGTGTCTACACCCCTGTGCAATATCACTTAAATGTCAAATCATTCAAAATTGTATCACAACAGTAATTGCATTACTTCTGTGTGGCTATTTGCTCCTATGTTATATTAAAAACTACCAGGTTTGTTTTGCTGTATTAAAAAACAGGCCCTATAAGAACTCTCATTACTGAGATTCAATTTTTTTTATTTTTTCACTATTTCATTTGTCCACCTTTACTTTTGATAACAGACTCCTCCTCAACACAGAGGATACCAGTGAATGCACAAATCTCTGGAGAGATGTTCTGGTGTTTCAGCTGCTCTTTGCTGGTTATATTTTTCTATTTAAAATACCCCAAAGGTGTTTATTGGATTTAAGATAGGCGACATACTGGGCCTGGTCGTACTTTTCACTTTTTTTTATTTAGAAACTCTTGCGTGGCTTTGGCGGTACGCTTTGGATCATCATCATGCTGGCATATTCTTCTTTGGCAAAGCTTTTGGAGAATGGGAGTCATCTTCTCAGCCACTGTTTTCATATATATATATATCCACAGGCATTCATAGCACATGGCACATATCTGTAAATGTCATCTCCCTCACACCTTTTACCCTCATGCAGCCCCATATCATCACACTCCCACCTCTGTGATTCACGATCAGCACTAGCTGATGCCCAACAAATTTATCTTGGTCTCATCTGACCAAAGAATGTGTTCCCAATATTCATCAGACTTCTTTTCATGTTCTTATCAAAGTTCAGTCTCACTGTTTTGTGCTAAAGAGCAAGCCAGAGTTTTTCGTGGATGCTGTTCTTTGAGGCTGATGTTATGCAATGTTCTTCGTACTGTCTGAGCTGCCACAGAAACTCAGATTTCCATTGAAAACCTATGTGCCAATTCCTGCCTGTTTGTTTTTCAGAGCTAGATTGTGCAAGCAGCACACTGTCCGTGGTACTATAGCTCGTTCTATACCCCCTGATTACTGCTGTGACTGTATTTTGACTGATTTTTAGTTGGTCACCGATCTTCTTGCACCCTCTTCCATATTTGTTACTAAGTCTCACAATCAGAATTTTCAGTTATTCTGGCATTTCTGTTTCATGTGCCATGATGCAGTCACATGATACTCACAACTCACAGGTACAAAACTGAGAAAATTGGTGTTAATGCATATGTTCTTGCAGTTGGAAACACAGGTGTACCCAGTTTTGTTTCAGTGATCACAAGTTTTCTAACATGTGTGCGAGTGATTCACTTCTGTTGCACTGAGTTTCAGTTCAGTCTTTCTAAAGTGTTTGTTCATAATAGGAACTACTCTACTTGTCACCTTAGCAATAATACATTTATTTACAGATGATAACAATTTTGAGTCATTTGACATTTAAGTTATATTGCACAGAGGTCCACTCATTTCTGTTGTATACTGTATCTTGTGCTGTTATATTATCCTTCAGGTACAGCAAAGGACCATCAGAAGAACATTCTAAAAACCTGGAGGAAATGAAAGAGAAAATTATGATGCGACCAAATGCTTTCTTTGAAATGGAAGCTTTTCTTCCCCAGAAAAATGGGTGATGACCTTTTTCCATTCATAAAATGAAATGTGGTTACAATAAATAAAACCTATGAATTAAATGTATCTCACATAAAGTGATTGTTTCATATTGCAGGTTATACCTCAGTCTGGTTCTTGGAAATGTGAATGTCACTCTTCTCAACAAGCAGTCAAAGTAAGCAATGACCACTGAAGCCTAACTTGAATATCATGTCCATTTAATATTTATCCAGTTAACAATAGATCTTTAGATTTATCTGTGTACTTTCACTCAGTGAGGTGATTGCTTATTTCCCTAAATCAAACATTCCCTAGCTGATTTCTGCCCATGCCTCTGGTTTTGGAAAGCCTTATATTATATATTGAGTTTTACTGAATTTGTTACATCCTTGTCAGATTTGCCTACAAAGATGAATATGAGAAGTTCAAGCTGTGCCTCACAGTCATCCTGATGCTGTTCTCCTTCATATGCTACTTCTTTGTGAGCTACAGGTACAGTTTGCCTCATAGACAGCATTTAGTGCTCTTTGTCAGTTGCAATGAATTTATTGCACAAACACTATCTAAATCCAACACTTGTTTTATGCCCCTGACTTTAGATTTATTGATGCGATCCTCAATTTCCTACTGGTGTGGTACTATTGTACATTAACCATCAGGGAAAGTATCCTCATCACCAATGGCTCCAGGTTAGCACAACTACTTTTTAAATTCTATTACACAGCAATATAGGATGAACTGATTAGATTTTGGTGGTCAAAGGTCAAGGTCACCATGACCTTACACTTGTCCCATTCTTGTGAACACTCTCTCAGGAATTCCTTAAGGGAATTTCTTAAAATTTGGCACAAATGTCCACTACCATACTCATAAATTTGACTGGTTGGCAGAGGCGTACTACTGCAAAGCTCTAATTCATATGTCAACTTATTACTTTTTGCCCATTTCATTCTAATTCCTTGCCCAAGTCATTATAAGTAAGTGTTAAAAAAAATAAGTATCTAATAAAATGTGCCCTGTATTATAGAATCAAAGGATGGTGGGTTGTTCATCACTACATCTCAGCTTTTTTGTCTGGTGTAATGCTGACATGGTGAGTTACGGGAGATAAATCCCTTCACAACACATTAGGAAACAACAAACCTATATACACTTACTGTATAATCAGAAAATCTAATTCATATGATACTTGCCTGTGATTTGTATATGCACATTTATGTTCCTGTTAAAGAAAAACACATAAAATAGCACTTCATATTTTCTATGTAATAACACATTTACTCTCTTTCACACCTAAGGCCAGATGGGAACCTGTACAAGACATTTAGGAACCAGTTCCTTGCCTACTCCTTTTATCAAAGTAAGGTCCAAGTACTTGGAAAACATTTACAGTTCACTTTTCCAGACTAAACCACAAACTGATTTCGTTCATCTGGAACATGCAGGTTTTGTTCAGTGTCTGCAGTACTACTATCAGAGTGGGTGTCTGTACAGACTGCGAACCCTGGGAGAAAGACACAACATGGATCTGACTGTGGGTGAGATAACACTGTCACACATCAAGGATACACCAAGCCTGGCATATCATAATCAAATATGCCATAAAAATGTTAATGATTTGGAGCCTATCATGTCTGGGGCTCTTCATTATCATTGTTGTATTAAACAGAAGTGAAATCTGCATGTTAATCTCTTCTTTGATTTCTGTCTAGAGGGATTTCAGTCCTGGATGTGGAAAGGGCTGACGTTTCTTTTGCCCTTCCTGTTTTTTGGTCATGTGAGTGCAGTCTGTGACACTGTGATGGAGTCCAAGTGAACTTGAGAAATTGCCTCTAACATCTTAGTTTGCATTAAAAGAAATTATGCATTATCATGTTTTATACTGGATGACACAGACAAACTGACAAAATATGCCAATGGCATTCTATGTATTGCCATACATATTTAGGCAGTGTTTACATTTTTGATGATGGTGATAACAGTTTGCCCATTAGTGTGTCTCTGTGTTTTGGTAGTTGCAAACTAAAGCCGTTCACTTTTAAGTATATGAAACCCTTAAGTCCTCTTGTTTTTTCTTGTAGTTCTGGCAGCTCTTCAGTGGCCTCTCTCTCTTCAGAATGGCTCAGCTCCCAGAATGTAAAGACTGGCAGGTCAGTCGTATTTGAAAGTAACCCCACATTACTTCTAAATAGTTCAAGTTCAATAAATATGGAATTACTGCTGTAAGGCTTATTCATGTATTTTTCTCTATGTTCCATGTGATGCCAGGTGTTGATGTGTAGTCTGAGCTTCATTATTCTGTTCATGGGAAACTTCTTCACCACTCTTGCTGTGGTCCGTCAGAAGCTGAAGAGCAGGAATCAGAAGCCAAAAAGTCTGTGATTGTCTGCAAAACAGTGTCTCTCATGCACTTCTTCAAATAAAATTTCATTTCATCTTTACTGCCATCATTATCAAAACAATTTGTAAGAAAACTGGCAATTATTACATAAAATGTGTGTTATGGCCAATTAATCACCATTAAACTAAAATATGCTATTCAGTGCCACTGTATGTTTATGTTTGTATAATTAGGAAAGCTCACTCGTGGGAAAAGACAAACAATGAATAAAAACACCTTCAAATAAAGTATGTAATTTTTCACACACAGTACTCCCTATGAAGCGTTTTTGTTTTAGTACCGTTACACCTCATGTGCTTTTCCATATATTTGTGTGACTGATGTTTGATTTTTCTTTTTTTCATAATTAAATTTTTAGGGCATTGTTGCTTTTATTAGGTATACATGACAGTAAGTTGCTGAGAGGTGGCCAGGAAATGGGGAGACAGATGGGGAGACCTGCAACACATGTTGGCGGTTAAACTTGATCCACTGATGTCGCACACATACTATGCCTGGTACATGATGCACTGCACCATAATCATTCAGCTATTGGGGCAACCCAGATTGAAACATCTTTTCACTTCATTTTTGGCCTTTTATCTGATTGAGTTCAAGTTGTGTGTGTAATTTGACTTTCTGTGCAGGGATTTGAAAAACTACAGCTTTTTTTTAACACATTATAATACATCTAGGTTATATTTTTCTCTAGCTATAATACAAAATACAGCCTGAGCCTAACAGATCCAGTGAGGGAATGTAACTTGCTTTATACTTCTACGCTGCCACATTACAGAGGGAAATACTGTACTTTTCCTCCACGGCATTTAACTGAAAGCTACAGTGACTAGTTATTTTGCATATAAGCATAAGCATAATCACCTTTATTGGCCAAGTATGTTGCACACAAGGAATTTGTTTCAGGTACAGAACCAGGGTGCCAACTCAACCAAAGGTTCTAACCATCGGGGGAGTTCAGTGTCTTGCCCAAGGACACTTCGACATGTGGACTGCAGGCACCGAAATTCGAACCTTCAACCTTCCAGCTGGGAGACAACTGTTCTACCCACATGAATATTTTACCAAAAAAAAACCAATAGTGAGTTTATAAAATGAGCCATTGCTACAAATTAAACTACACAATAATATAAAGTAGTTCAAATTAGCTCCACCTCTGTCAGCTACACCATTACAATCAGAAATAATAAAGAAATATTACACAATACTGCACTAACAAGCAGTGATGGTAAAGTATTGTGATTGTTATTAAAATTAGCAATACCTTGCTATTAAAGTACTCTTTTACTAGTCAAGGTCTTGCATTAACATGTAAGTAGAGTAATTTTCAATTTTCATTTGCTTTACACAACTAGGTAAAAATGCTTCATAGTCTATAAACTGATTTAGTACTTCTTATTTAGTACTTATCTTATTCTGAAACAATTCTACCTGTTGAGTAAAAATATAGGCATTTTCTGCAGGAAGTGCCTGTTTTTTTTCTAACTTATAGGAAATAGGAAATTGCACAAGCAAGATAAACATAATGAAAAATAAATAAAACTAATAGGAACAGGTGCCATGTACTGGTTTGTGCAAGTGTAGTAGCCTATATATTGTAGTGTCATTTGCTGATAAGGCAAGGGGATTCATACGAATTGTGTAGTGAAACTATGCAAATAAAGTTCAAGAACTTCAAATTTGTACTTAAATATAGTGCTTGAATAAATAAAGACCATGAAGTTATTTTCCACCTGTGCTTACTGAGGTCATTCTGGTCCCAAATTAGTACTTTTACTTTTGATTCTTTAAGTACATTAAGACTGATTGCAGGACCTTTATTTGTAAGAGTATTTTATATGGTATACTACTGCTGCTTTAATGAAGCTGAGCATGCAGTTAGATAACCTGTATTGTTGGGCTATTTACAGTGTCCTTGGCACTGTGAACATTGACCCCTTTTAAGTTGAGGACACGTTAGAGCAGGCTGTCTTTCAGTCTGTCAGGGATAGTTTACTTCCCTGGCTGGGTTACATAGCCATGACCCCTTAGCTTGGGACAGTTGTTTATTTAATATTGCAGGCTAAAGGCGCACAGTGATATTAGGTAAAGCCTTTATGGACTGGTCCAAATAAAACACGCGTCAGCAGAGATTTAAAAAAAATTAAAAAAAGAATAAGGACATTCAACAGTCTATTAAAGCAGAGTAATTTCCTTAAAAAAAACACACACATATACAACTGCAGCCTCTCACGAACTGAAAGCATGTCTGGATAAGATTTATTTGTCCTTGGAAGTGTTAAGGTCCTCCCCCTGCTTTCGTGTGCAAGTTGGTTTGGTCCTATATGGCGTAAACTTTTCTTCCGCATTGAGCAGAGAGCCTGAAGGAAAGAGGAGAGCTGAGGGTAGGCGTAAAACTACACCTTTAATTGTTTTATGTTGTCCCGTAGATAGTGGCAGTCTATGGGATTTACATTGCAGCGATTATAGACTCACTTCGAAACTACGAACTTAAAACAGAGAGGAAATATTCAGGTTTTTTTTAACCTAACATTAGCTTAAGATAAGTGCCGACTCGGTTACAAAACTGAGGCTAACTTGTATAATCTCTTTGAAGCAAGTCGTTTTCTTAATATTTAAAGTTTAAAATGATTACATTTTTAATACACTTTGTATATGTCATGCTTTAGACAACTGAGTTTAGTCTCCGAATTAACGTGTGTAGTGTCGTGTGGTCAGCCGGTGTTGTCATCCATAACTTCATCGAGGCCCCAGTCCCGTTGGCTATAATAGTCGTTTTACGTGTTTTATCATATTTAGCTTTATTTTAGAAACAGGAAAATACCCATACTAGAACGTTAACCTTATTGGGACAGGTTGAACTGGTGTCTAAAATGAACTAGGGTACATGTGGAGCTTCCTAGTCCTTGTGGGCAACCGGTCTTCTGTCGACAAGTGTTCCCCCGTCAGGATGTGTTTCCCCGGTAAAAACGTGCGTGTAGTAGCGCTCCAACTATGTGGTTATGGTTAGGCTAAAGGTAGGGTTCAGGTTCGGGGAAACGCATCTCGATGGGGAAACACAGGTCGACGCAACCCCGGTGACCTTATCTCGACTATTACGTAACCAACTCCTTTAACAGAGTAGGCGACGTGCCATTAAGCACGTCAATGTCTGATTTATGGCTATTTAATCACCCATGCCAACAGCAGTTAACCTAAATGCTTTTTTCTTGTCTCACTGGCCGGGGCACCGAATCAGTCTCACGTCATTCTGTTGAAATATCACAGTGCAAAATGCTCTGTTACAAGTAAAAGACCCACATCCAAAATGTTTCTTGACTAAAAGTACAAACGTATTCGCATCAAATATACTTAACGTAGCAAAAGTACTCATTATTCAGAATGGCACATTGTAATGTATGTTATTATTTGATTATAATTACTGATGCTTTGCTGTGTACCTCACATTTTATGTTACACCTGGTAAGAGTGAAGGTAATATTAGCTAACTCATATAATTTGAAGTACTTCTGGGTAGCTTGTGAATTTCCCAGAGGATAAATAATGTTTTATTATTACACTGTGTTTTGGTTTTTAACCTGAGTCTGAAAAAGAGTTGGTATCCACAGTGATAAAATACATAGAGTGGAATAAAAAGTACAATATTTGCATCTAAAATGTAGTGAAGTCAAAGTATAAAGTATCAGAAAATGAAAATATTCAAGTACTTAAGTACAGTATTTCATTACCTGAACTGATTTTTAAAATACCATGTGTTAGCCAGTGATAGCTGTACACCTGGAAGCACCCTTCACGCAAGTCTCGGCCCCTGTCTGTGACCTTACCCGGTGCAGGACTTCTCTAGGACAAATTTGGTGTGTGACTCTGTACCCACTATGTCAGAGATGTGTGAGACAAGTATTTCAGAACTAGGTCAGCTGCCAATTGATCAACATCTATCTAGGGTTCAAGGATTTTATTGTCAATTCACCATAAGACTGCTGTGTTTATGTGTAAAGCCAGGAACGACTTATTACCTGGTGGAATCCAAAAGTTATTTGGTGAAAGGGAAGGGGGATATAACTTGAGGGGACACTTAAATTTAAAAGTTCATGCTATACGAACAACCAAAAAAAGATTTTGTATTTCTATAAGTGGGGTCAAACTATGGAATAACTTAACTGTGGACATGAAAAATAGTACTAGAATTGAGGAGTTTAAATATAAATAGAGGTCAGGGTCGAGGAAATCCACAGAAACTCATTGTTCAAAGAGGTAAACAGAAGAAACACTTTTAAATCTCTTGTGAAATTTCTAACATATTCAGTTTCCTTGTAACATGTCCCATAGTGTCTGTTGCTTTATGTCAAATACATTTTTCAAGGTTGAAGGATTTTGTCAATTCATCATATGTGCAGGACATACAGAAAATTGAAATACTGTTTCTCTCTCACCTAGTATTGGGTGCCATAACATTTAGGAACTAAAATAGAGTGAAGTAGAATAAAAAATAGAATAAGAACTGGATTGACATAATTAGGATAAATCTAAACGGTACAGCCAATAAGCTGTGACTCAACTGTGTACAGTCAGTGACAGTAGTGCAAACAATAATAGGCGATTGTCAGATGGTTCAGCATCCCTAGGGCTTTGGTGATGAGGTGTAAATAGCATATGAGGTATACATGGACAGTATTGCAAATGAGTAACAACAGCAGATATCCTGGCAAAAAAAAAGTCAGCAGCAGATTTACATATAACATAATAGATGGTAAAACAGCAGAGGTAGTTTTTTTTTTTTTTTTTTTTTTTT